TGTTGTTGACAAAAACGTCTTTTTATTGTGTACTGCTAAAAAGTTATCTTCATCACATTCCAAAATTTTGTTGAAAATGAGATAACCATACAAAACGATATTTGTTGCATGGTCTTTTGGAAATTTAAGCTTACCCCTACTCAAATTTTTAATGAGTATGTGACTGTCTTCAACTTCTATTTGATCTGTAACTGTTAAATTTGACTGGCATGTTTGCCATTTAAATTTCTTGGACAAAATGTAACAACAATATCCTGCTAGGCAGGTAATGACAGGCATTTCATGTTCCACATTTTCCAAATCACACCGAGAAATTTGTAAATTTGGGACAAACCATTCCGACTTTGAGACTGTTTCGTTGTCAAAAATATTATCACTTTCATAAAAATGTTTTATTATTAACATTGTACGTACTTTCCTGACTGTGTTTCAATTCCAAAATTAAAATCAAATCCTGGGTTCTTCAGTCATTTATTGTTCATTTATCAATTTAAAAAAACGTTTCGGTGTTTTCCACCATCATCAGTTTTAATGTGTAGCGTTGTTGCTACTTTACGCCTTGTATAATAACCACCACCAAAATGCAAGCACGTGTTGTATAAATTCGCAGAACATACCCCCTTTTTGGGGGGATATTTTGTGTATAAATTAGCGTCTTCTTGACTCTGTTCGGCCTTCGTGACGTCATTGTCGGATGGCCTTCTCACGCAGCACTGGGGTTTAAGACTGTTTGCACCATTGGCGATTTTTCATTTAAAAATAATTGATTTTTTAATTAAGGGCTGGCTCCTAATACCCAATATCGGGTGACTGTGCGGGCGAAACACCACCGATCGGCCCAGAACGTGGCAAATTTAGCCGAGGAACTGCCCATGCCAGCGGCGGCGCATACGGATTTTAGGACGCTTCCCAAGGGATTGCCCGACCCTCCTAGTGACATTCTAGTCGAACCCGGTGAGTTTTCCTAATCCCTACTTGTCCGGGTGAGCTGTTGCCAAATTTCCGATTGTATCCAGGGCCCCAAGATGGGACGCTACTGGTCACCTGGCACCCCATCAGCACCCCCCATCATCCCGCCTCTGGCATCACCGGCTACGCCGTCTATGCGGATGGAAAAAAAGTGACAGACGTTGACAGTCCCACTGGTAAGTCGTCCAAGACGTCAGCTGGGCCAGCTCGAAACCTGTTGGTTGCAGGCGACCATGCGCTGATTGACATTTCCAAACTGCTGGGTCTCAATCCGCGTCATGTGACAGTGCGTACCAAGGCCAGAGACAGCCAATCAGCGGACAGCGTTCCAACCGCCATCCCCGCCAGCGTTTTACGGGGCGGACCTATCAGACGTCAGCAACCGCACAGCGCTGTCATGCCCGCCCATTTGAGGCAGCCAATGCCGAGGAATCAGCAACAGAGCCAGGGACAGCAGGTAAGAACCACGCTGGATTTTTTCAGTTCCGAAGTGAGGCTCAATTTTTCAAAAATTTTAATGTCACTGTCACAAAAAACGTCGGATTGCACCCTCAAAATGTCACTGCCAACAGCAACCAAACGAAATTGTTGCTTCACCCACCAAAAACCTGCTAGAAAGCTGCATGAACTTTTCCATCTCACCTCGTAATCAAACTGACGTAGTCCCCCTCGGGTCAAGAGAGAGAATAACATAGCGGTTGCCATTGAAATGAGTCTGTTCTTGTCGCACGCTGCCGATGTACCAGGGTGGTTTCAACAGAACAACGACTCTTAATGATTTTTTTAGCGTTAAATCAGGGCCTCTTCATAGCCCTGATTTAACCTATGTAGAGTTGAAATTTGCTGATTTCAGGGTTCGCACCATGTTATTGCTGATGTTTCCGTTGCAGATTATCGAGCCGGATGAAAATCTGAGCGACAAGGAGATTTTTCCGAACTCGCAGGCCCACAGACAGCAGCAGGGTGGTATTCCCTCAATAGGTAACCCAGCGCTTTTAGGCATGTTTTCGGTTGATCTTTTCGCGTTTGAGCCCTCGATCTACTGGGCAAGAGGATAATCCGATAACGAGTAGACGGGTTTTCCTAGGATAGCTATTTGGCATGAGTATGGTTAGTGGGCGGAATAATGCGCTTTTAGAGAGTGAAGCCAGCCCATCGGGTTCTGTTGTCTTGCGATTTCCGTTGATGAAAGCAGTTTTTTGGCGAAATGATTTGCCTTGGTGCCTGCAAGCCAACCGAACCCAATGAGTTGAAACTGATAGAAGTTCAAAGGTACTAAGAGGGAATTCTGGGCGTGTTTACTGTTGCTCACATTTGCAGGATTTCGCCTTTCAATCGAACCAAACAGCAGTAAAAACCCGAATTCCAGTAGTCAGTTTAGTCGCTTTGATCCCACTGGCTGGTAAACGAATTAACAGTAAAGACTTGGGCTTGAAACCTTAGTTGACTCTTAGACTCTTGGTGTCCGAAATCCAAATCTACTAACCGCTTAGGCCAAAAATTTCTTCTCCCCAATCGAATGTTTAGCTCCCCGATCGCTTACAGAGATCACGAAAGAGAATTATGATGCCAACATGTCTGAGGACGAGCTGGATAGCCGAAACAGGCGCATGATGGGCTTCAATCGGAACCAGACCAGGCAACAGCAAAACGCCACGCAGCCGCAAAACGTGGCTGGAACAAGCGGCCCAACCAATCAGCAGCAGTATTACGGGGCTGGTCAGGCGCAACAAGGTTGGTGGTCATTTAAGCGGACGATACAGCCGTCATTTGATCAGATCAGTGGTTTCACTTCGGGGTTTTTTCTTGCATTTATTCGAACTGTTCGTTGAAGGTAAGTCTAAGGCACGACGGTTGCATTGAAGTTGCGCGCCTCAAATTTGAAAGTTTCTAAAAAACGTTTTTTGTATGCGATTGGAGGAAACAAGGGTTTTCTGTATAAGTCGGGCCAACAATCGCGTTTTCAGCTGCTCCAATTGTGGAGCAATTAATTTTTGAAAAAGTGCGTCCGGACTGCAATGAACTCATATGAATGATGCAATTGAAAAATTTGTAAAAAATATTCTACCTGCTGGATTTTATTGAGTTTTTCGGCATTTTTCGTCTGCAGTTTTTCCTATAAGGACAATTGAAAATCATTTTTTCATCTGGTCTAGTTTGGGAGCAATTGAGCCTCGAACATCGGTCTGCAAAGCGCTTCGCAAGTGGGAAACCGACGTAAATTTCGAAATTTTCTAAAAAATATTCCGGAAATGCACTTTTGCTGCAAATGCAGAAGACTTTTCGCCAAACTCAGTCAATAATAATCTCCATTTCTCCTGCCAATGAACAAAGCAGTTCATTTTTGAAATTGGGTTGTTTCATATGACTGACGGAAAACAGACTGAAATTGAAAAATTTGTACAAATTAATCCGCAAACTCGATTCGAATGAGCAATTCACGATTTTGGATCAACAGTTTTCTCAATCAGGACGGTTTCAAATCACTTTCTTCCTTAGCTCAGTTTAAGATTGGTTGAACATCGAAACTGCGCTGCAAAACGCGAGCAGATTGGAAGTCAAAAGCCGACTTTGAGTTCGGAAATTTCTGAAAATTCTATCCGCAATGTGATTTAAATGAAAGTTTCCCCACTAGTAGAGAGTGTTTTTCTATAGAAACTGAGCTAAGAATCATACTTCTGAGTGCGCTAATTATGAAGCAATTAATTTTTGAAAATTGGGCTGCGAGACTTTTTCATATGACTGATCGAAAACAGACCGATATTGAAAAATTTGTAAAAATTAATCGTCACATTGACTCCGCATGAGTTTTTCACACTTTTTCCCCAATAGTTGCATCTACACGATTTGTTCAAAATTGTTTTTCAATTTCGGTCGGTTTGAGAGTAACTGAGCGTCGACAATTCCGCTGCAAAACGCGTTCGAAGTGAATATCGGAAACCGACTTGGAGTTGAAAAATTCCTAAAAAAACGTTGGGAAATGCGGTTTTAATGGAAATTTGTGCGCAGCAATAGGCGACCTTTTTCGATAAATCGAGCTAAAAAGAATTTTTCTATCTTGTCCAGTTACCTCGCAATTAATTTTTGAAAATTGCACTTCGGGACATTTTCATATGAGTGCTCGAAAACAGACAGAGACTGAAAAAAATGTAAAAAAAATGCCAATTGTGCCGAAAATTGCGCTCTTGAACGGCGAAGTCGAAATGCGATTTGAACTTCAAAAAGTTCTAAAAAATCAGCGGGCAAAGCGACTTTAATGGAAGGTTTCCCACAAGTAGCAAATACATTTGCTGATCAACAGCATCAAAAATCCTCTCCGTAGCTCTTTTAGATACGCGGGAATTAATTTCTGAAAATTGCACTCTGTGACATTTTCATATGAGTGCTCGAAAACAGACAGAGAGACTGAAAAAATGTAAAAAAAATTGCCAATTGTGCCGAAAATTGCGCTCTTGACCGGGGAAGTCGAAATGCGATTTGAACTTCAAAAAGTTCTAAAAAATCAGCGGGCAAAGCGACTTTAATGGAAGTTTTCCCACAAGTAGCAAATACATTTGCCGATCAACAGCATCAAAAATCCTCTCCGTAGCTCTTTTAGATGCGCGGGAATACATTTTTGAAAATCGCGCTGCACATTCGCTGCAACTCGCCCCTATTTCCATCCTCCCTAGGACTTGAAGGTAAATAGGCGCCAATCTAGACCTTAGCAGTAGGAGCCGTAGTCTCCTTAGAACATCCCCCTAGGCTAGTCAGTGATCCAACTCAGAACAGCTCAAAAAAACTCGTCGGTAAAACTTTCGGTTGGTTATTCCAGTGGTGCAAAACCAAAGACAGAACCAGATGATGCGCAGCCAGCAGCAGCCGATGCGCCCCTCGCCCAACAACCCCCAGAGAAAGGGGCGGGAGCAGAACGCCAACCCAAAGTACTTTGTGGCCCTTTTCGACTACGATCCAGCCACAATGTCGCCCAATCCAGACGCTTGCGACGAGGAACTGCCCTTTTCCGAGGGGGACACCATCAAAGTGTGGGGAGAGAAGGATGCGGACGGTTTCTACTGGGGGGAATGTAGAGGCAAGTAGAAGGAGAAGGGAGAAGGTTCGCCCCACTACCCCACCTAAGCCCATCACTGCTGTGGCTCCTCCCACTCGAATTCCCCAGCCAATTAAAGCCCGATTTGCTTCAGCAGGGCGCAGAGGCTTTGTCCCCCACAACATGGTGATGGAGCTGGACAGCAACCATAGCAACCAAGCAATTCAGCAACATGGGGCTCCTGCACATGGGAATCAGCCCCTGACTAACCCGGTCAGGCGAATGGTGGCGCTGTACGACTACGATCCGCAGGAGTTGAGCCCCAATGTGGACGCAGAAGTAAGTATAAGGAACAGCATGCAGTGGAGGGTGGGGGATGCCATTCTAGACCCGTCCACTCTACCCCAATATTCTTGCCTTCAACTGCAGGTAGAATTGAGCTTCAGCACCGGGCAGATCATCACAATCTTCGGGGAAATGGACGAGGATGGATTCTATAATGCGGAAATTGATGGGGTGCGTGGATTGGTGCCGTCCAACTTTTTGGCGGACGCTCCTGATCAGTTTGGGGCTGCCGGGCCTCATGGCCCGATTACTAGAGGAGGTGAGTGAGAGGCTGTTTTTAAAAAAAATACTAGTTTTGGGGATGATTTTTTCATGCTGTGACGTTACACGCTGTTGAAGCCCCATTTTGTTTGCTACGTGCGTAGGCAAAAGTCTTCGGTCCATGTGGGAGAATTTCCATTGGAATCGCATTTTTGGGGAAATTTTGAGTCCCTTTCGGACCTGCACTTATGCCGTCCAAAGGCCGCAAAAATGCACATTCTTCGGGATTTACACAAGATGATCCTCTTTTGGCAACTTGAAGTGTCTTCTATGGGCTGTGAGAGTTTGCAGTTTTTAACTGTTCTCGATTTCTAGCTGGGGATTTTCAAATGTAAGCAGCGTGCAGTTTCGGGGAACGTCCATTTTTGACCCAAAAGTCCGCAAGATAAATAAAGAGTCGACGGGATTTTGATGAAATTTGTTCAGTTTTTCAAACAGAAGTGTTTTCTACAGGCGCTGAAAATTTGAAGTTTCTCCATACCCGCCACTTCAAGTTAGGGAGTTTTTAAAGTGATCTTGCAGTTTTGT